AAAGGTCTCTACAAAACACTGCTGAAAGGAATCACAAGTGATACAAACAAATGGAAATACATCCCATGATCATGGATGGGTACAGTCAATATTGTAAAAATGACCATACTACCAAAAGCAGTCTACACCTTCAATACAGTTCCCATCAAAATCACACTATCATTCTTCACAGAAGTAGAAAAAATTCTAAAATTCATATGGAACCAAAAAGGAGCTCAAATAGCCAAAGCAAGATGAAATAAAAAGAACAAATCTGGAGGCATCACTTTACCTGACTTCAAAGTGTACTACAAGGCTATAGTCCCCACAACAGCATGGTACTTTTAGAAAAGTAGACACCCAAACTGGTGGAACAGAATAGAAAACCCAGAAATGAAGCCAAATACAGCCAACTGATCTTCCATAAACCAAACAAAACCATAAAGTGGGGAAAAGACACCCTATTAAACAAATGGTGCTGGAATAATTGGCAAGCCACATGTAGAAGAATGAAACTGCAATACACGCAATATGAAAGAATTAGTGTGAAGAGTAAAAATGAACACTATTTAAAAATGAGAAAATATGCAAAGCATACTAACATGAAAGAACATCTATTTTTTTAAAAAGTCAATTTTCTTGGAAATGAGAAAATAGAAAATAAAATGACAGTTATATGACATTTGATATTGACTAGAAGAAAAAATCAATTTCTCACTTTTAATTGTTATCCAATAGAAATTATAAAATTGTTAGGCCGTGTACAGTGTCTCATACCTGTAATCCCAATACTTTGGGAGGCAGAGGCAGGCAGAGCACTTGACATTGGGAGTTTGAGACCAGCCTGACCAACAGGGAGAAACCCTGTCTTAGCTGGGCATGGTGGCGCATGCCTGTAGTCCCAGCTACTTGGGAAGCTGAGGCAGGAGAATCACGTGAATCCAGGAGCTGGAGGTTGCAGTGAGCTGAGACTGTGCAATTGCACTTCAGCCTGGGCAACAGGAGAAAAACTCTGCCTCTCTCCCCCTCACCCCCCCATATATATAATGTTTTGTATTATTAACGAGAAATTATCACTTTATAACTGGATTCAACTTGGTCTGGAGTAAACTACCTTCAAGCTTCCAAATATTCTCTTATTTTAATCACACTCATGTCTCATTTCTCCAATTAACAAGTTGTAACAACATGTAAAAATACTGTTTACTAAGAATGCTCATTAGAGACTTAATGCTCAGAGTGTTATTTAGGGCTGATCCCCTGGGTACCACTGTAAGAAATAAAGTAGGCTTTCAGAAACAAAATAAAACTAGGGTTCAGCTTATAATACATTGTTTGCACAAGATTGTTTACACATTGTGAACCACTCACTTAGGGTGATGAGATCCCTAAGAAAATCTTTTCTCACACCAAAATATCAGACTTCATGAGCAGATATTTCTAAGAACATATAGTCTTAATACTAACTGTTGTACACAAAAGATAGCATGACTTTGTGAGCAGGTATTTCTAATGATATGTAGTCTAAGACTTAATACTTTTATGCACAACAGATGGCGTGACTTTGTTATGAGAGGCCTTCAAAGGAAACTCTTAAACATTGAAATTAGGGGTGACCTCATTTTTTACAGCACTGTTTATTCCCTGAACCTGCCAAATGAGAAAGGTGTTTCTACTCTGCTGTTGACTTTCTGAAGAGTTTCATTTTAGCATGAGGAATGTTGCTTGGGAAGCACTAAGTGCAGACAGAGTAAAGTTCTGATGTCCAAGTCATGAAAGAAGTGTTTGAAGTCTGCAGAATTATGGTAAGATTTTATGAGATGAGTATAGACTTTAGTACTGTCTTAAGTCATCCTCCTCTTGACTTGTGGGATATTCCAGTATTCAATGTCTTTTGAAGATGTGGCTGTGACCTTTACCCAGGAGGAGTGGGCTTTGCTGGATCTTTCTCAAAAAAGTCTCTACAGAGTTGTGATGCACGAAATCTTCAGGAACCTGGCTTCTGTAGGTAAGAATAACAATTTTTCATGTAGTTGAATAGAAAACAAGTGTTTTGGGTGGCTGTGGTGGCTCACAACTGTAATCTCAGCACTTTGGAAGGCAGAGGTGGGTGGATCACCTGAGGTCAGGAGTTTGAGACCAGCCCGGCCAACATGGCAAAACCCTGTCTCTATGAAAAAAATACCAAAATAGGCCGGGCGCGGTGGCTCACGCCTGTAATCCCAGCACTTTGGGAGGCCGAGGCAGGTGGATCATGAGGTCAAGAGATCGAGACCATCCTGGTCAACATGGTGAAACCCCGTCTCTACTAAAAATACAAAAAATTAGCTGGGCATGGTGGCACGTGCCTGTAATCCCAGCTGCTTGGAGGCTGAAGCAGGAGAATTGCCTGAACCCAGGAGGCGGAGGTTGCGGTGAGCCGAGATCGCGCCATTGCACTCCAGCCTGGGTAACAAGAGCAAAACTCCGCCTCAAAAAAAAAAAAAAAAAAAAAAAAACCAAAATTAGCCAAGTTTGGTGGCAAGAGCCTGTAATCCCAGCTACTTGGGAGACTGAGACAGGTGAATTGCTTGAACCCAGGAAGCAGAGGTTGCAGTGAACTGAGATTGAGCCACTGCACTCCAGCTTGGGCAACAGAGCAAGACAGGAAGGAAGGGAGGGAGGGAGGGAGGGAGCGAGGGGAACAGGAGGGAGGGAGGGTGGGTTTCTTAGTCATGAATGTTGTTTCCTGATTTGACATGTGGAAAGGGGATACTTTGTGAAAAAACCTAGATGTGGTCACAGTGTACAATGAACCTTGCATCTAGCAGTTTTTAAAGTTTCATATCATTCATAATAATCTTACGGATGTATGTACATTTTAGGAAACAAGTCAGAAAACCAGAATATGCAAGATGACTTCAAAAGTCCTGTGAGAAATCTAAAGTAATTTGTATTCACAATAAAAAATGCCCTTGAGGGAATCTTAGCATGTCATGGGTTTTTAAAACAACCACTAGAAATGTTATTTATTTTCAGAAAATTCTCAGCAAAAATGCACCTGAATGTAATATCAATGTTGAATATTTTCTGAATATTTTACTTGGAAGCACCAGTAAGAAACTGTACATGTGACTATCACAGTTATGATAATAGTTATGGGGGATCCATGTCTTACAGTAATGAATTCATTTACTTTAAAACAATTCCGACATGGCAGGAAACTTGCATTTTTCCTGGTATTAATAGCAATGTAAATCATGGATAAATGTACCATTAATCATGTATTTATTATTTTTACAGCAGTCATATGGTAGAGAGATTGTTTGAAATTGAAGAAGGCAGTCAGTGTGGAGAAGCCTTCAACCAGGATTCAAATTTTAATCTGAATAAGAAAATTTCTACCGGAGTAAAGCCATATGAATGCAATGTGTGTGGGAAAGTCTTCATATGTCATTCAGCCTTTCATAGGCACATCATATCTCATACTGGAAACAAACTGAGTGTGTGGAATATCCAGAGAACTTATATAAATGCAAACAATGTGGGAAGGCCTTTATCTCTCTCAAAAGTGTTGACAGACACATGGTAACACACACTAGTAATGGACCTTATAAGAGTACAGTATATGAGAAGCCTTTTGATTTTTCCAGTGTATTTCAAATGCCTCAGAGCACTTACACTGGAGAGAAGACATATAAATGTAAACATTGTGATAAAGCCTTCAGTTATTTAAGTTATCTTCATGAACATGACTCATACTGGAGAAAAACCTTATGCATGTAAGAAATGTGGTAAATCATTCACTTTTTCCAGTTCTCTTCGACAACATGGAAGATCTCATACTGGAGAGAAACCCTATGAATGTAAGGAATGTGGCAAAGCCTTCAGTTGTTCCGCTTATTTGGGAATACATGAAAGAACCCATACTGGAGAAAAACCCTATGAATGTATAAAATGTGGCAAAGCCTTTAGATGTTCCAGAGTCCTTAGCGTACATGAAAGGACTCACAGTGGAGAAAAGCCCTATGAATGTAAGCAATGTGGTAAAGCCTTCAAATATTCTAGTAACCTTTGTGAGCATGAAAGAACTCATACTGAAGTGAAACCTTATGGATGTAAGAAATGTGGTAAGTTATTTACTTTTTCCAGTGCCCTTCGAAGCCATGAAAGGACTCATACTGGGGTAAAACCCTACGAATGTAAGAAATGTGGTAAAGCTTTCAGTTGTTCCAGTTCCCTTCGGAAACATGAAAGATCTTATATGTGGTAAACAACAACAATGCGCCTCTATGTGAGAAGTGTGTTAAAGTGTTCAGATATTCTAATTTCATTAGAACATGTGAAAAAATTAACTCACACTAGAGAGGAACCCAAAACATGTAAGGACTGTTAGACTGTATGCAATTTTCCTAGTTCCCTTCTAAAACATAGAAGAACCCATACTGGGAAAGAACCTCATAAAATGCAAGAAATTTTTTAAAGCATTTAAGTTTTCCAGTCACTTTCAAATATATAAAATAATTCACAATGGATAAAAACATTGTAATTTAGCCGGGCGC